AGGGGATGTTGAGCACGGAGTTCCCACTCGTGATCTGGTGTGGATCCATGACCGAGCACCTTCAGCTAGGTGAGTTTATTAAAATTAATGTGGTCAACATCCAATGTCGAAGACTTACAGAACTAATGATTTGGAGCTTTGTATACCATGGCATCTTTACTTTTTTTCAGCGTTACGAACGTAATACTCAAAGGTGAAATTTGGGACAGATGGGTTTTTCGCCAAAGTTACGGTTCGTACAATCCACAATTTATGAACAGATTATAACAACTGTGAACACAAACACGACACCAGCACACAAGCTTATTTATTTGCATGTATATTTTAACAAAAGTGTTCACTGTCCTCATCCATTTAATAACCTTAATTAGGTAACGTCCTATCTGTCAATCCATGTTCTAAATTATCAGTCATCCATATGAGAATGGCTTGTGTTTGCTATTCATGGTTAATCATTACATGTGTTACATTCTTATGTACTGAAATTTACTCTCCTGTTTCTACGACATATTCAGTACCAACCTGAGTGCTGCATCAAGGCACGTAGTCCATGTCTTTTTATGGGTACTTATTCACTTGAGCATGTTCAGAGCGTGAAAACGAAATCAGTGAAAGGTCTTTCTAAATTATCTCACGATGGCTGCCCTAAAACGCCTGAACATTTCCCCCTTATTGTATCGTAGAAAGCAAGGTGACCTTATTTTGGCATTCCGCATTTTTAATTACGATTTGGTTATTAATATGTCGTATCTTTCTGCTCCCTCCATCACTAATAATCTTCGAGGACGTATGAAGACTGTTCCGAAACCGCTATTAAATAAACTTGGTGTGGGGTTCCGTTATTCTCATTGAGTGGTCGATGACTGGGACGCCTTAAATGGTTCAAATGGTTGTGGACGGAATAGAAGAAGCTTTCGCTTAACAGGCTTCCGTGTCTAGTAGCAGGGGATCACCAAATCCTCCAGGCAGGAACCTAGGTATGTTAACAATAAAAGAGGAAAAGAAATTGGTAAATCATAGTGTGATGCTGTCCTTGGTCCTTAAGAATAGGTCAAGTTGCCTCTTGAAGGACTCCTGAGAAGTCGCTTGCACTAGCTCGGCCGGCAGCGAATTCCAGCTTTTGACAACTCTTAAGGAGTAGAAGTTGTGTCTACATTCCGTCTTGCTATGTTGTGTTTCCAGTTTCTGGGTGTTACCCCTTAGGTTATTATTCGAACTAAGCTTAAGTAGGTGTTTAAGAGGATGTCCAGAAGTGTTAAGAATACTATAAGCCATTAATAAATCACCTCTAAGACGCCTATATTCTAGTGGGTAAAGGTCTAGTGAACGGAGGCGTTCTTCGTAAGGCTTAGATTTGAGTCCTCGAACTGATTTCGTGGCTCGCCGTTGGATACGCTCCAAAGTGACCTTGTCCTTTTGGAGTGAGGGGGGAGTACTATGTTTCCGTTTTCTAAATGGGGACGGATAAAACTATTGAAGATTGTGTGGAAAGTTCTTCCGTCAGACTGGCCAAAAATGCGCCTCAACGTTACCAGTGCAAGGTTTGCTCGGAAGGCATTTTTGTCACAGTTAGCGTAAGACTTTAAGTCATGGGGCACCAGGACTCCTAAATCTTTTTCGACTTGGGATACTACTAGAGAGGAGTTTCCTAAGTTGTAACTGTAGTTTGCGACATGTCGCAGATGGACTACTTTACACTTTGAAGTGTTAAAGGTAAGTCCGTTATCGTCTGCCCAACTTTGAAGTCGAGTCAGATCCTCCTGAAGTGCCTGTGTATCGTCTTGGTTGCGTATCTCTCTCCAAAGTTTCACGTCGTCGGTAAAAAGTAATAAGTCTGACGTTACCTGTTGAGGAAGATCATTTATGTAGATCAAGAAGAGAAGAGGCCCTAGTACTGAGCCCTGGGGGACCCCACTAGGACATTCCATAGCCTGAGATAAAGTGAAATTAACCCTGACCTTAAAAGGTCGATTTTGCAGGTATGCAGTAAGTCAATCGATTAGAGGTGGTTTGATACCTAGTCGTTTGAGCTTGTTGATAAGACACAAGTGGTTAACCTTATCAAAAGCTTTTGAGAAATCAAGGTAAATGACATCAACCTTTCCCTTGCAATCGAGGATGCTTGTCCATCTGTCCACCGCAGTCAGCAGGTTGGTTATACAAGAGTAACCCTTCCTGAAACCATGCTGTAGGGGTGAGAAGAAACTTAAGGACAGTAGATAGTCATTTAAACCGTCGCATATCAGGGACTCCATGAGTTTTGAAGGTAATGACAGAAGAGCCACCGGCCGATAACTTGAAGGTTCATTGCGTCGACCACCTTTGAAAATTGGTGTGATGTGAGCCAACTTCCAGTTTTCCGGTAATTTGCCTCGGCTAAGCGAGTGTGAAAACATCACGCTAAGCGGCGTTGCCAGGATTGAGGCTGCCTCCCTCAGTATGGCAGGATGAACCATATCCGGGCCAGGAGAAGTGTCAAGTCTTAAGTGCTGCAATTTCCGGAACACCAAGTCAGCGCTTAGGTCCACTTCAGAAAGTCCTGTGGAATTGCAGATGAAACTGTCGTCAATAAAGTTGATGTCAGCCGGTTGAAATGTTTGAGAGTAATGTGCCGCCAGAAGGTTAGCGGCGTCGCCATCGTTGTTGGTCGGGCCGTTAAGACCTAGCAGTTGAGAAACTCCTGTTTTGGCTTGACGAAGAGAGGCTGCATAACGGAATAGGCTTCTAGGGTTAGAGGCGAATTTGTGCATAAGCTTTGTTTGGTGCTGAAGCCTGTCTTCTCTTATAGCCTTCGTGCATATGTTCCTGATATATTTATATTGCCTATACGCTCCATCGTTATTAGTTCGTTTGTATTCCGCCCAACAGTGCCTTTTGCGGCTTAGCAGGCGAAGGGTACGGTTCTTGATTACTGTAGGTGGCTTGCAGCTTTTGGGAACCGTTTGAGGAACTGAATGGTCTGTAGCACATAAGAGCGTGTGCAGTAAGAAGTCCCAATGACCATCCACATCAAGTTGAGGGTGAACATCCCAAACCACCTGTTGTAGATAGTCATGTAGAGCTGGCACATTCAGCCGTTTAAAATTCCAACGCAAATTATTGTTGGGATACCTTAGCTTAGTTTTGATGACAAAACTGAAGGCTATGACAGCATGATCGTTCTTTCCCAGAGGAGCGAGAATTGAGAGGTTGCCGACTAGGAATTCTTCGTTAGTGAATACACAGTCTAAGCGCGATGGTGTCTGACTGTTTCTCCAACGAGTTGCCGACCTCACATTTTCATATAAGCCCAAGTCATCGATGAGGTTGAAGAACCGAGCTTCAATTGAGTTGTCGCCTCCAGTGTACGTGTGTTCCGCGAAGTTGACTCTAGGGAGATTAAAGTCCCCTAGAATCAGGATGTGTGTGAAACCGAGACGGATAGAGCGGGATAGTCCTTCCAGCATACGACTATCGTACTCGGTGTCGGCAGTTGGCTTCCTGTGAATGACTCCGACTAGACACCTGGAAGTACTAGACAATCTTACAGAGCACCATATGGATTCCTCAAGATTGTTAAACTCGAGGTTGTGAACCTGGTGCACCTCCAAGCAAGAGCTTATGTATATGGCTACTCCGCCCCCAATTCCTGTTTTTCTGTCGTTGCGGAACAAAGTCATCCCAGGTAATGCTAACTCTTGGTCCGAGAACTGAGAAGATATCCAGGTTTCAGATATTCCTATCAGATGGGCCTTATTAGCGTTGCTAAGTTCACGTAGTTCATCCAGTTTGTTTGGTAGACTCGCGGCGTTCATATATAAGCAGTTTATGCTTTCTATTTGGAACGCGTGAGCTTCGTCCTGTTTTTCTGTATGAACCTTATGTGAATGGACAGGTAGCTCACCTATATGAGGTTTGCCGAGGTGGTAGGCCCTGTCCTTTACACGTTATTTTTATCGTTTAGACAGTCCACAAGTGGAATGGTCAGCTCCAACTTGCCTTTGTTCTTGGTCCTAACTTCGTATGGCCTATCCGGGTGCATGTGGTTTCCAGGTGGCAGTCGACGTCTGTTGGCTCGAAATGCTTCCAGAGTTGCAGCCGTCATATGGGAAGATGGGGAGGTTATCTTCATTCGACGGGGTTTAGAATCACCATCCTTCTTGGCTAGTCTCGTCACATGCTGAGTCAGTATGTGTTTGAGCCTCAAGGACTGTTTGATGAATTTAAATTCCCCGATGTCAGAATTTGACTGAGTAGAGTCTGCATTTTTCGGTATACCTTGGACAATTATGTTTCTTCCGCGGAAAAACTTCTCGCGAGATTCTTTAGGGACGTTTCGTATGATATTGCGCTCAGAGTACGGTATGTCGGGCAATATTCTTACGTTACCATCTGATTTTAGCAAGTGACTTGCTAGCAAAACGTCCTCTACGTCGGTAGCATTCTTAAGTGTTACTCGGAGAAGCCTCGGGTGATTTAGATGCTTAGAATCCTTTCCTCGAGTGAGCCGGGTGACCGTCAAAGGCTCTATTCTAGGAAGTTCGAGCTTCTTGTTCAATTCACCCCACAGCATGCTGTCGTTTTTGTCCTGCAGACTGAGAGGAAGGTCAGGATTGTCAACGAGGTTCATGATGATGAGAGAATCGTCACGAACTGTTGTTAATTTACCAGGTTTCACGATGGGTTCAGGTTTAATAACTTGTTGTTTGGAGGTCAGTGTGCGTTTATGAATCTTGGGCTCTTTATTGACCGGACGAACAGTCTTGGGGGTAGACTGTGCGACTAAATCACCAGTTATTTTCCGTGCAGCAACACTTGGGTTGCTCGGCTTAGGCGGTGATGCCTGGTTCTTTTGAGCTCTCTTAACGTGGGTCGAATCACCTTACCCGAAGAACTATTATCAGCCCAATCAGCGGACATCTTCAAGAAGAAACTGGACCTTCACTGGAAAAAAAACGGTGAGAAAACAAATCCACCAACCTACTATCCCTGTTATTGAAGAGTGAAGACTTGAAACATCTGTTTGATAGGCGGAAAGCTTAATGTGTCTGCTACCGAGGGTTAGTGAAGTGCAAGACGAGTTCTTCGTTGTTTGGACGTTGTTAACTATCCAAAAGTGTTCTTTTCTGACTTTTATTTTGTAGCAAGTTGAATTGTCTATTTCAGTTTTATATTACAATATTGTCTAAATCGGAGACTTGTGTTAATGTTGAATTTGTCGATTCCTTTCCTTGATAAAGTGCATTTTGTTGGTTTGCCGGCTTGTCGACTGACCTTTTCTTGTGTTCTTCTCTTCTCCTGTTTTCACTCACACTACTCTTCATGCTTTTCTAGCACACAAAGCACCTTTTGGCTAGACGCAAATCGTCACATATGTGGAACTAATATTAATTCCACAAAGTTCCTTTTTATTTTCTGTTTTATATGCTTGGACACCCAAAATTTGTCAAAGTCAGTTTAGTGGGCAAAAAATCCAGGCTAAAATAGTCGCCACGAATTATTTGCAAGGACTCTGTTGACATTTAAAAGGACAGTGGTATTCTTTCTCGTTGAGTTAATTAACTGTTTTGATCGTAAATTACGCATCAAAACTACTGTTTACACTTTAATTGCATCTACCCCAGTTAAAGTGATATTTTATTGAGTTTTTCGATTTTGCTTCTGTGTATTTATTGCATCGAAGCATACTTGGTCGACTTTTACTTGGTTTATTTAGTTAAGGTTTGGAAATCCTTCTACATATCCTGTTTTCGTCACCGTTCTAGTTGATTTTCAAGATGGCTAGGTCTACTCATAAATGTGGACAACCATACTGCTTATTTCCCGTGGATGAAGGGATGCAATGTGATGAGTGTAATAAGTGGTTCCATAAGATGTGTACCCGATTAAGCCCCACTGCATATAAAAGGTGTTCAAAGCCCAACTCTCATTGGCTTTGTAGTTTTTGTTGCTCGAGCAAAACATTGCTTATCCAGGAAGCAATTAGTCTCCTGGTGTTGGCTAATAAGAAGGTTGATGAGGGCTGTACTGATAACATTGGTACGGATGGCGAAGATTGCGTTAGTGTCGTAAGTGCTATCACGGCGCAAGCCAGACATCTACCTGTGCAACCCGCAGTTAAACGTTCTCCCCCGAAACGATCAGTGAGTGACACGTCATTAGACGTTGGTGGCCATATTGCTACAGCAGCAACCGGTGACCCAGATAAAACAATTACTGTCCCGAGTTGTTCTAATGTAGACGTTTCGACTGATGGAAAATGGATGACGCAAAAACGCAGAAGAGTAGGAAAGATAGCTAAAACTAATGACTGTTTACTTGGTAAGTCTTTGGTGGACTCTCAGACCAATCCGCCAAAGTCTCATAGTAAAGCTTCGTCTGACATTGTTGTGAGTCATTCGCCTGACTCCCAGGACTCTGTTAAAATAAAAACTAATCGTAAGCTACCAGTAGTTAAAATACAGGATCTAACGTCACGGTCGAAAGCTGTGAACACAGTTTCAAAAGAAGCTAAACCCATCCCTAGTTTAATTATTTGGAATCTAGAGGAGTCGAAAGACAACGACCCTGTTAAAAGACACGCACATGACCTACAGTTAGTGGAGTCTGTGGTCAGGAATGTACTACCTGAAGAGGTTTCAGGGGTACATATTACAAAAGTAATACGACTTGGTAAATGGGTTGGAGGCGAGACCCAACCAAGAAGGATTCTGAAGCTGGTTCTCGGGAGTTTCGAAGAAAGAGACATATTATTGAAAAGCGCACAAAAAACTCGTGCCTCAAATATCCGTATTCGACCAGATTGGCCGCTTGAGGATCGAATCAAGTGGAAGAATGCTCTTACGGAGTTGAGGACCCGCAAATTAAATGGCGAAAATAACCTTACCATTAAGGGTTTTCGGGTAGTCAGGTCTTGGAAGCCAATGCTTCCGAGGCCTGTATGGGTAGAACGATTGATTGCCAAAATACCTTAAGTGTGTGCTACACGAACGCTCGTAGTCTTAGAAATAAAACGTCCGAGCTAAGTCTGATGGTGAAAGAATTATGTCCCGATATAATCGTTGTTACAGAAACTTGGTTCACCGTTGATATAGACTGTTCTCCTTTCATTGCTGGTTATATCTGTATCAGAAGTGATAGAGTTTCGAGTCGCAAGGGGGGAGGTATAATATTTTACGTTAGGGATCACTTTCGTATACAATCAACCATATCGGAGGCTCATATCAGTGGCACATGTGAGGTTGCATGTTGTAAGATTAAATCTAGAAATGGGTTAGTGACTATAGGGGGAATATACCGTAGTCCGTCTTGTCTGGTTGACGACTTTATCCTAAGACACATCTGTTCTTGGAGTATGGCAGAATGTTGTCTCATCATTGGGGACTTCAACGCACCGCATATCAACTGGATAGAGCTTACAGCTCCAGGTAGCGGTTTCGATAGTGACCTTTTATCTACCGTTATTCAGTGTGCACTTGTACAATGTATCACAAAACCGACACATATTGATTTGCATCATGTTCCGTCACTGCTGGACCTCGCCCTCACCCACCACTCTGAGGATGTCTTTGATATCCAGCACCTTCCTCCACTAGTGAACAGTGATCACGTTGTAATTCACTTTAAGTTTAAGACACATGGTATACAATTCGTATCTGCTCCACCCCGTCCCAATATCTGGCGAGCTAATATTCCGGAAATCAGAAACCGTGCTATCTCGACTGATTGGTCGGTCGACGCGGATGGATTGATCGAAGATGAATGGAATAAGTTTAAGGCTACATTCGAGTCCGTAACGTCGCCGTTTATCCCATGGTCAGCACGTAAGCTATCACATTGCCCTCCATGGATTAATAAGGAAACCCGGAAGCTGTTGAAGCGTAGGAAACATTTCTGGGACTTATTCTTGTTGACAGGTCATGCACCATTTAAGCGTGAGTATCAAAAATACCGTAATATCTGTAAGAAAACCATAGCGAAATCCCGTACCACTTACGAACGACTGTTAGTATATGATAGCCGTACTTGTCCGAAACGACTGTTTTCGTATGTTAAACGGCAAATGAAACGTAGTGATGGTATTCCCCCGTTGCTGTTACACGAAAATTCAGAATTACTAGCTGAATCAGATCGAGCTAAAGCTGAGACTTTTTCAGATTATTTTAGCGAAGTCTTCTCTACGTTTATTGTAACAAATACTTGTCCCATTCACACCGAGATACCAACCATTGAATCCGTACAGGTGACTGAGGAAACTGTCCTTCCGTTGATAACTAACCTCAAACCTGGTAAGATACCGGGCCCTGACGGGTTACATCCACGGTTGCTGTCATCTCTTGCGGACATTATTTCGAAACCGCTTGCGACACTCTTCAACATGTCCCTCTCACTCGCCCAACTCCCTAGAGATTGGAAGGACGCTATAGTTAGTCCTATATTTAAGGACGGTCAGCGACAGATAGCATCTAACTACCGGCCTGTCAGTCTAACTAGCATAGTCGTTAAGTTACTTGAAAAGATAATTCGGGTTAGGTTGCTAAGCCACATAGATTCACACAATCTGTTAGCTCCTGAGCAACACGGATTTCGTAACAAGCGTTCATGCTTGACTAACTTGCTTATTGCGAGGGAGGATTGGACAGCAGCCCTAGATAACGGTCTGTCTGTCGACGTGATATTCATAGATTTTAGCAAAGCGTTTGACAAGGTTTCACACGTAGGTCTTATGCAGAAGCTCACGAGCTTCGGAATACTAGGTACTGTACATGAGTGGATAGGAAATTTCTTATGTGACCGCAGACAGAGAGTTAGGGTCAATGGAACGCTATCCGATTGGAAGCCGGTCAAAAGTGGTGTACCCCAAGGCACCATCTTAGGCCCTCTGCTCTTCCTTCTCTACGTTAATGAGTTACCACTGTTACTTAGGTCGTCGACATTATTGTTTGCAGATGATGTAAAAATCTGGAGAACAATAAAAAGTGCGGCTGATCGTGTGGATCTTCAAGCTGATTTAGACGATTTAGTTAGATGGGCTCGAGAGTGGGGTTTAGAAATTAATGCTAGGAAGAGTGTACTAATGCACGTCGGTCACGGTAATAGTTACCGTTACACTGTTGAGGGTAAACCTCTTCCATGCGTTCAAGAGCATAAGGACTTAGGAGTAATATTAAGTCATGACTTAAAAACAACTGCGCATTGCAAAGCAGCCGCTGTCAAAGGTTTTCGTGCGTTATGGTCACTTCGCCGAGCGTTCAAATCTTTTGACGAGGAAACGTTTCGAATTTTATATCCCATATATGTTAGACCACATTTAGAGTACTGTATCCAAGCAGCTAGCCCGTGTCTGGTAAAGGATACTAACTCCCTTGAGCGTGTCCAGCGTGTGGGAACGAAATTAGTGAAGGGTCTTTCTAGTCTCCCTTACGATGAGCGCTTAAAACGCCTAAATCTTTTCCCCTTGTCGTATCGTAGGACACGAGGTGACCTTATACTGGCATTTCGTATCTTTAATTATGATTTGGGTGTTAATATGTCTTATCTTCTTGCTCCCTCCAGCACTAATAATCTCCGAGGTCATAGCAAGAAGCTTCATAAACCACGATCTAATAAACTTAAAGTGGGATCCCGTTTTTCTCATCGAGTAGTCAATCATTGGAACGCCTTACCCGAACAAGTGGTATCAGCCCCATCAGTGAATACTTTCAAGGAAAAGCTGGACCTTCACTGGAAAGCAATGTGTCAGGATTAACACAGGTTCATCAACCTACTATCCTTATTACTGAAGACTGAAGACTGATTGCGTGATTTCGTGTAATTTATGTCTGCGCTTGCGAAGAAAATCGATTTATACCAGTTACGTTAATAACCTACCCTACATTACCATAATTTCGGAGCTATATGATAATTCTTCACAAGCTTATTCAATTAAGGTTACCACGTAAAATGGTGTAGTATCAATTCTTAAAGTCATGTAAATTAGAGTAATCGTTGATTTTTGAAGCAAATGTCCACATGGAAATGCCTCCGAAATTTACCTTGAAGCCTACCCCGACGTATAGTGGTTATAGATGCATTGGAAAAGAGTATTCGTGTATGTTGCAAGTCTGCTGCCCTGCTATGTAGCATGTAAAGTTACTTGGTAATGCAAGAATGAGTATTAATTATAAAACCCTGATTTTATTTTTAATTTCGATATATTTGTTTCAAACCAGATGCAGAGTAGTTTAACAGGTACGAATCTCTTTGTAGTTATGATTTAATGCTTTAGAACACTTAACTTCAAACTAATCTCACTGCAACTGCAGTACTTTATAGACCCAACTGTAGCTGCTACGACTAGTTGGGCTTGTCCATCAGGATGATTCGGCTGGTTTATACTGACTGGAATGCATGTTACTTTAGGTCTTACCTTATGAAGCTCTTTTGCGATTGCGTTTGGTTTTAACTGTATTCATTCATCTTGAGGTGATTGCAAATTACTATCATCTTACTAACCTTAGGCCATACTTCCTTTTACTGATCATTCAAATCTGACTAATCTGTTAACTAAAACTCAGTTTATGTTGTAACAAAGAAGCTGATCGTTATTTGCTTGTCCGCAACTCTTGGACACATCTCATCATAAGTTGGTTTAACATAGCTTCACTTTTAACACTTATGATATTCACATCCTTGTAAATGTAAATTTTTCCTTTTAATTTTCCGCAGGCCAATTTTTGTTTAATATACTTTTGTCCTGAAGGACTCATGAAATCTGTTTTCACACAGCCCTCATACTTAATCCATTTACATTTAATGTCTTATGTAGGATTAAAAATAAGCAAATGATTGATGCAATCAGAATCCTTAAGTCAGGTGACAGTGATGACCTCCAAAACCTTTTGCAAACATTCAATATACATTCTCGTGATGCAGACAATAATACGTTGCTTCACCATGCCTGTTTATTAGGAAATGTTAAAGCTGTACGTCTTCTGTTAGATAGTGGCGTTCATGCAAATGCCTCCAATATTGATGGACAGACTCCAATTTGCGATGCAGCTCTAAGCGGATCAGCTGAGATAATTTCTCTTTTATTAAGAAGTAAAGTTGATGTTAATCCACCATCTTATTGGGGTTCTCCGTTAATCTATGCCACACAGAATGGTGAGCTTATAGTTTTGTCATCATTCTGTATGTATTCATAGAATCTATAAATGCAATGAAAGTTTTAATAGATGCTGGTGCAAGTTTAAATTCTCCTGAACGCAATGGCCTTTGTCCACTACATATAGCTATCCAAAGGAGATTTTATGCTGGCGTTTACCTTCTACTTTCTAAAGGTATGTTTAGTTTACATACCTTGACATTATTTTATTATCTGGTAAAGGTTTATAGCTCAAGTAAATTTTTTTAGCGTTGGTGAGTTCTCTGAAATGGTTTAGCTGCAGTTTCCACTGTCGTTTTGGGCATCATACCTATATACATATTATTGTATTATTTAAACATAAACATAGGTACAAGGAGGCGCCAAACAGATATGCGCCACACTTCGTCATTCGGTTTGTGTAGGGGCTGGAATACTGCCTGGGTGCCCAAACCAAAGCAGGTGGTTCTCCTAGGGGACCACGCCCCGAGCCTTTGACCTAAAGGTCTAATCCACAAGGCGGTGAGGCAACTTAAGGAGATACAGTCCAGTAGTAGCCGGTGACTAACAATTGGTTCACACGCCATTTGTTTCCTTAGGATTCTGGAGCCTATGTGCACGGTTGGTTTGAAATCAGGGTTTTCCGACTCTCCTGGATGGATCCTCCGCATCCACCAACCCGGGTAAAGCTCCGGACATTCATTTTTCGTCCTCTCGATTTCGTAAGCAACACCCTGATTGCGATAAGGCAGTGGATAGGACTTCGTTGGTAGTGGTTGTATGCACGTGGCCACGTGGGAGCATTTCGAGAGAGAGAGAGCTGACTCTCCCCACCCTCGCCGATACCAGGACTTTTGGGGGTAAGGTTGTGATGGAGGTGGGATTCATTAACTACGTTTGTACTTTAAGTTCATTGTTTATAATTGTATAATTTTTACTATAATTCCTAATTATTAGGTGCAGACCCGAATTGTGGAGTACGATTGACAACTCCCTTGCATATGGCAGCGAAATTGAATGACGTTGACATAACATATTTACTGTTAGAATTTGGTGCATCTCCGACTTCTCTAGATAAAGAGAACCGTACTCCAATTGATTATGTGCCAAATACGAGTCCAGTTTATCAGTTATTGAAATCTGTACAAAGTGAGTTGGTTGGCAATTTACAATGAATAATATTACTTTCGACGTCATCGCATTGTTAGCGCTCATTGAATTTAATATCGGTTCCTGGTAGATTTACAATTTTCAATTCATTATATCATCTTGTATTGGCAGAAACCGTATGTTAATGGTTACGAGGCCGACCGACCGTTGTTGCTATCTTGACGTGGTGTTCGGGCTTGTCTATCATGATGAAGCAACCGAGCTATACTGACTGGAACAACTGTTCCTCAAGGTCCTACCACGTCAGAAAGGTCGGTTGAAGAGCGGTAAGACTAAAAGCAACAAACCCCAAGGTCCGAAGGTGAAGTCGTACTGCTGACTGTACAGAGGTGTGACATCAGTAAGGTCTTTCATTCAGATAGACAGCATCTGCAGCGATGCTGCCTTCCCACAAGGAGGGGGTGGGGTTAGAAAAGGTCGACCCTAAAAATGCACACCTCTCCTTATCCCACGGATATCCGTCTCCGGCAGTAAGGTCTCAACAAGTACGGAGCTAACACAAAAATTTCCCATAAAAACGTCGTGTGTGACCGACCTCAAGCAGTTGTCCCTTGGGCACTGCGGTCACGCTCCCAGGTCACTAAGACCACTTCTAATCCGATTTCCTTTTCAGGTACCTCCAGAAGAACCCTTCCACGGTGTGGGCAACCGGGAAGTGATAACCGCCCTCATACCTCTAACAGCACTCAAGACCACTGTATTCATAATCAACCTCCCCCTCTTTAATTCCTATTATTCCTCCTACATCGACTTCAAACTCTAAACTTCTTTTTTCGGCTTCCCCCTCAAGTGTTACCATAGCCAACGATCCTAGTGCTCAAAACACTGTCCCAGGTCTACTGAAACCTCGCTCCACACTACACATTGGAGCCTTCAATGTACATACCCTATGTCAAATCGGTCAGCAGGCTTCCTTTGCTAAAACCCTAGAATCTCGTACCATTGATGTATGCTGTGTCTCCGAAACACGCATACAGGATCCCAGTGTGGTCATTCATTTGACCTCACCTCGGCAAAACGGAGAGCCAACGAGATACACCCTTCGCGTATCTGGTGACCCGATGGCCATTTCTCGTGGACTGGCAAGAGTAGGGATAGCACTAAGCATGAGGGCGGAACGAGCATTGTTAGAGTGGATCCCCGTCAACAGTTGTTTATGTGCTGTTCGGCTAAACGGCTCCGTAAGAACCCAGAAGGATAGGGACACACGTCGTTGCCTTTTTGTCGTTTCTGTCTACGCTCTCACCGTCAGTCAGTCAGTCAGTCAGTAACAACGTAGAACTTCGTACGTACGTACATCAGTTTGAGTTGCCACACCACATTAGCACAGAGATGCAGTTGTCGATTCAAATCCCGTAGTGGTAGATGTAATAAGAGTATAAGCAGTAATCGGGAAGATTAGGGTTTGGAGATGTTATTCAAAGAGTATAATCCAGTGAAATAAATTTGGAAAGGGGAAACAAAGGGACATGAAGAATTCAGAAGATTAGAATTTGGGAGAACACAGAGAGTGGATGCACCTGCGCCATTGCAAACGATTTTGAGCCATGTCATTCAGGGTCTAACCATCGGTTGCTATCATCTCGCAGTCCCCAACCAGGTAGTCTACACCTACCAACATGACTCAGTCCATTTGTCAATGACTTCATGAATTTGTGCCATATTTTGGTTTGGCCGCCCCTAGCTTTCTTCCAACCTACTCCTATACCACTGAACATAACACGTCGAGGTAGTCGGTCGTTGGGCATACGTAACACGTGTCCCAGCCATCTCAACTGATGAAGTTTCACTACTTCATCAATTGATTTACCATCCTTACCTAGTACCCGTTTCCTAACAACTGTGTTACTTACTCGATGGTCCCATGATATACGAGCAATGTTTCGAAGACACCTATGGTCAAATACTAGTAACCTACAAATATTCTGTACTCTTACCGGCCATGTTTCACTGCCATAAAGTAGGACGGAACGAACTGCTGCGCAGTAAACACGTCCTTTGGTTGATAGACGGATATCTCCCCTACGCCATAAATGACGCGAGTTGGCAGAAGCTAGTCGAGCCTTCTGTATCCGTGCTGAGATTTCGTCACACACCAGACCACAAGGGCTGATGAGACTTCCAAGATAAGTGAAGCGGTCGACACACTCAACTACTTCACTCGCTATCACTACTTCGGGTGTCGATGTAACCCAATCCTGAAGCAACATTTTGCATTTCGAGGGAGAGAATCGCATCCCGAACATGCTTATATTGTTGCTTAAAGTGGTCAGAAGACTCTGCATTTTATCAGCGTCTTCACCAAATAAAACTATGTCATCAGCATATTCTAAGTCAACAAGTGAACTTCCCGGTAGAAATTCAACCCCTGGAAATTTAGACGAGGAAAGTGTTATCTCTAAAAGTACGTCGACGACAAAGTTGAACAAGAATGGAGAGAGTGAACAGCCCTGACGAACACCACTTGAGGTAATCAATTCTGATGACAGTTCGCCATAAGCTCTCACTCGACCAGTTGTGTTCGAGTAGAGAATCTGTATAAGGTTAATGTACTTCTTTGGTACTCGTTTCAGTGACAAACACTGCCATAGAACCTCACGATCAACGGAGTCGAATGCCGCCTTAAGGTCGAGAAATACTACCATTGTGGGGCGTCTGAATGTGTGTCTGTGTTCTAGAACCTGACGTAGTGTGAATATCTGATCTATACAACCACGTCCAGGTCGAAAACCGGCCTGGTTTTCTCTAATCTGCTCTTCACGAGCTGTGATTAGGCGTCGAAGTATTATTGAAGCTGATATTTTAGACACTATATTAGTCAAACTGATTTCTCTGTGATTGTCACAAGAGGACTTTTGTCCTTTCTTATAGACTGGGACAATCAGTGATTGAGACCAGTCAGATGGGATTACGTCCAGTTCCCAAATCCTACCTAAGACCTCGGTTAATCTCATTGCTAATACTGGACCACCATCCTTAAAAATCTCAGGAGTAAACCTGTCAGGGCCTGCTGCTCTCCCTCGTTTCAGATTTCCTATGGCTTTTTCAACTTCGTAAAGGGACGGAGGACCTACATTAACTTGCCATTCAGGTTGACTAGAGATCGTGGGCAACCGAAGTGTGGCTGAAGGCCAGTTGAACTGATCCCTAAAGTGTTCTGCCCATCGATCCAATCTCCTGGATTGAGAATGAATAATATGTCGATCTTTCTCTGAGATTGTTTCGCTAACGGTCGGGTTCCTAATTCCGGTTTCCTTAACGAGTCTGAACAATTGTCTGCTATTACCTATTGCCGCTGCCTTTTCCATCTCTCTTGCTTTCGCTACCCACCACTGTTCGCGATCATTGCGTAGACTTCTTGTCAGATTGCACTTAAGCTGACTCCGCTCTTCATTATGTTCAGAGCCAGGTGGAATGAGTTTCCGAGCATCTATCAGTGCGATAGATGCTGCTGAGATCCAGTGTTGCTCCCTAACCTTCTGGTTTACCTTACTAGCAGATATCACTGCTGTTTCCACAGCTTTTCGGATATCATTCCATGCTGCCTCGGGGTGGGCATCACATACATGGCTGCCTAACTGTTTTCCTAGTTGTTCCTGAAATATACTCTTAGCTTGACTATCATTAAGTAGGGCCCTAAGAGGTTTCCTTGCAGCGTCTTTCCTACGTCCAGTAAGACGCAGACAGATACGCGCTCGTACTAGAGCATGATCTGAATCTAAGCATGTGCTCCAGAATGAGCGACAGTCTTCTATCGAGCCCCTCCATCGGTGGCTGATAGCGATGTGATCTATTTGGGTCCAACGTTGGGACGAATTAGGGGGTCTCCATGTTAAAAGATGTTTTTCCTGATGCTTAAAATTAGTACTTGCAAGGAACAGGCGGTTATCTGAGCATAGCTGCAACAGACGGTCGCCATTATCTGTTCTCTGAGCCACGACATCATAAGATCCACCTAGGTGTCTTTCCCCATCGCTTAGTTTACCTACTTGAGCATTAAAGTCACCGGCCACTATTACTACATCCGAGCGCTTAGCTTTTCGGAGGTCCGAAAGCTTTCTGTAAAACTCATCTTTTACATGATCTGCGCTGCAGTCAGTGGGAGAATAGGCAGAGACGACGAAGAGGCAACGACGAGTGTCCCTATCTTTCCGGATTCTTACTGTTTCGTTCAGTCGGACAGCGCACAAACGACTGTCTACTGGGATCCACTCTAAGAGAGCTAGTTCTGCCCTAGGACTCAATGCTATACCTACGCCGGCGAGGCCACGGGAAGCAGAATCAAGGCTTCCAGATACACGAAGCGTAAATCGAGTCGGTTCTTTATTTTGGCATGGTGAGGTCAAATGAATGACGCTACTTGGATCCTGTATGCGCGTTTCGGAGACGCAGCACACATCGATGGCGCGAGATTCTAAAGTTTTAGCTAAGGAAGCCTGCTGTCCTATTTGGCACAGTGTTCGTACGTTAAAAGCTCCTACGTGTAGTTTAGAGCGTGGTTTCAGGAGACCAGGAGTGGCGTTCCACGTACTCGAATCGTTTGCCCTAGCGGTGTTAGGTGATAAAGGGACGTGCGGAGGGTTAGTCGGGGGGATAAGAGAGGTGTTAGGAGGTGTACGAAGGATTTGAATGTGACCAACTTGGTCTCGTGTGCTGTTACGGCTATGAGGGCTGATGTCACTTCCCGGCTGCCCACACCGTGGAAGGGTATTTCTTGAGGAACCTGAAAAGGAAATTGGATTAGTGTTGGTCTTAACGACCTGGGAGCGTGACCGCAGAGCCCAAGGGACAACTGCTTGAGGCCGGTCGCGCACGGCCTTTTCGTGGAAGGTTTTTGACGTGTTAGTTCCGTTCTTCAAAGGGCCTTACCGCCGGAGACGGAAATCCGTGAGGTAAGGTGAGGTGTGACATTTTTAGGGTCGACCTTTTCTAACCCCACCCCTCCTTGTTGGAATGCAGCATCGCTGTCATGCTGGTTG